TTCAGTCCCGCTGTCATGCAGTTCACAGTCACTTAAATCAATTAATTTTGCTTTATGTTGCTGATTTTCATTGGTGGCCATTTGCTGCTTCTTAAGGAGTGAGTTAAATAGACAACAGAGCCACTGTACCATAGCACCGGATAAATAAGACTTCATGTCCACAGCATGACTTTTTGGATACTGTAGCGGAAAATGGCATATGAAACAAATCCTTGCCTTCAGCTAGATGGGGACATGTCCCTGAGTTCTCAGAGTAAGGCTTGCCCAACCTCTGCCCTGTAGTGTTTAAACCGGGAGAGCAAACATACTGTCAAATGGCAGAGTTTGACTTAATTTGCTGAGGCCTGCCTTTTCAAAGTCCAGAATTTGAACTGAGAGAAGAGGAGGAAAGGTAGACTAACATGTTACAAATGGAGACTGGCATATGAGGAGATCTCAGTACTTGGTCTGTTTCCTGGCAGGTCTCCATCCTGTGGTGATTGAACTTGCGCTCTTATGTAATTGTGCATCTCCTGGCAGGGGATTTCCTCCTTTGCTGTTGCTCGGGCAGCAATTTCTAAATCTACCCTCCCCCTCCACACGTGTATATACCTTCCAAAGGTAATAATTCACCTGGGTTCTTCAAAGTAAGAATGTCTTTCAAGTTTGTTTCTACTAAGTATTGTTTCACTCCCATGCTTTTCCATCCCCCAGATGAAAACTTGCCTTTTGTTCTCGATCTTTCCTTGTGTTCTTTTCCATATCCTCAGCTCTTCCTCAACTGACAAACTGGGCAGCAACCAGATAACTACTGGTATCTGGGCTAGGAGAATTAGAGTATCTTTAAAATAAGCTAGTGAGTCACACAATGTTCCTTGTTTCTGTACCATAACAAGTGAACAGCAGAAAATATCTTTAGCAGAGCTGCTTTGCAAGGAGAGAGAAGGCCAGATTGTACAGGTGCTTGTCCCTTTTCCTCTAGTTTTCCATCTTCCAAGAACAATTCACTGAGAGGTGCTATAATACTCACAAGCCTGAAATGCCCACTTGGAGACCTGAATGTTAGTTCCACTGGGCCTCGGTGTGTAATTGCCACACAGGAAGAATTTTACTGAACTTCGGCATGGACATGTGATCTCTTAGTTGAAGCTGACACACAGCACTCATTTCCCCTCTTCTATCTGCCAGGGACAGTAGGGAAGTCTTGTTTAAGAGACATTCCCTCAAGCAATAGCATAAAGATGAGAATGAACAGGGAGAAGCTCAGTACCTTGTGTGTGTGTTTACTTTGAAAGCAAATACTGCACCCATTCAGGCTTAAGTGTTAAGGATTGAGACACTTGGGTTAAGGGATGCATTGGGGCAAATGCATATTTTCCCTGGGCCACCCATGTATCTCACTGTAGTAAGATTTCATGTAGTGGAATGTTGTTGTTGTTGTTGATGTTGTTTAAATCAGTATCCTTAAGTTATGTTGCCACATTCCAGGGAACTTGGAAACTAGAGCAGTGAGAAATAATATCTATAGTGTGGGAGGGTTATTTCATTATTGGTGTGAGTGAAGGATGCAGCTTGATGTTGGGGCTGGGGATTGTGATGGGTATTTGAAGCTTCTAACACTTGTTGAACTGACACCAACAGAGCAATTCCAGGACAAATTGGGATGACCATCCTTTAGTATCAATGTCTGTTTGCTTTTACCCTGAGCTTGGATTCAAGGCAATAGCCATTGTACCCTTGGAGGATCACAAATTTGTGTCTCTGTAAAAATCTTTATCTGAAAAAGTAGAGTTAAGCTTAGGTGTTAGCAGGGAGCCAGCTAGTGACCTGAGGATGTTTCCTTTTTCTTGTGCTCACATGTGTCTGTGAGGTGTCTTTTTTTTTTTTTTTTTTTTTTTAGTTCTTTGGCCTAGAAACCAGCAGGGTTCCTGTATTTGCTATCTCATCTTCTGGTTCATAACTCAAAGTGGAAGTCTCCACTCTGCTGGTAGACCTCACAGGGGCGCTGAGCTGCGTCACTTCAGCCGTGAAAGGCCACCTGTGCTACCACCAGAGCTGGGAGACAGTTGAGTCTCTGTGAAGATACGGTATAGCAACAGCAGAACATGCAGAAACTGTCATGAGAGCTGAAACGGGTTTCACAGACTCTGGCGTTGCCTATGATGTATTCTCCCTGCCTGTCTCATACATCTTGAAAAAGGAAAATAGCCTCTCTTGAAACATCTGAAGGCTGCATGCCAAGAATTCATGCTGTAGTCCAGAAACAGGATATCATTGAGGCATTTTTCTCAAACAGAAACAGATGTAGTTCCCCATTACTGTCACCAGTGTTGGTCGATCCTTAAAATTACCTGACAAAAGTGTGCCTTTAAGTGCTTTTTTTTTTTTTTTTTTGGCAGTGGCACCCCTTCCTCCCCCCCCCCCCCCCCCCCCCCCCCGCCATTGCTTGATTTGGGGAAAGTTATCCTGAGTTTCCTGATGACAGTAGTAAGTTTTTAGTGGGTTTGCAGATGGTTGAAGTGGTGACTGACAATTCTTTATTATTCGGAAGGGGATCTTACGTGGTGAAAAATTAAATGATTCAGGACTCTTTTCTGCTCTAGTTGTGGAGATTGGAACAGAACCTCAGGGGACAGATACGAGTAGGGTCTGTTTCCCAGCCTCCCTTTCTTTCCAGTCTTTCTTAAGGAAAGGGAACATCTAATCTTTCCAAATCCAATCAACTGCCAGCAGTGACTTGCCTTCACCTACAGAAGTTTTAAGATCAGAGCGTGGAATTGCCCTGGGTGTAACTTCTTGCTGCAATTTTGGCTTGACTACACTTTGGCTTCTGACAAAGCTAGTAAAGTAAAACTGGGCTTCTGAGAATGGGAAAGGACTATTTGTCCCTTTTTACCTTCTTGTTCTAAGTTGATATCAAAGAACTAAGTGGAAGTTTAAAAAGGGGAACTTGAAAAAAGGAATAAAGTGGTTTTGCTTATTTTGCATTTTTCAATTGTATTGTAGTTTAGGCAAACTGAGGGAAGATGGGGGGATTTAAAAAAATTTAGGTTTATTTTTATTTATTTATGCAAAGAAGAATTAGGGTGTAGGGCCTCCCCGGTGGCGCAGCGGTTGAGCGCTGGGTTGCGAAGCTGCCCGCGGCCTCTGCAGCGCCGGTTCGATCCCCGGCTGCTCCCCGGCCACCACAGGAGGATCCCACATGGCGAGCAGACCTCTCCTGCCGCCCGCTGCTCCCCTCAGCAGTGTACTTCGGTCCTTCTGCCTGCTCTGCTCCCCGCTCTGGCTCTGGTGAATTCTCTCACCCTCCCGTACTTCTGACTGTACCCAGTGCATGTATAAACAAAACAAACAAACAAATAAATAAATAAATAAAAGCATGCCTCTATAAAAAAAAAAAAAATTAAAAAAAAAAAAAAAAAAAAAAGAAGAATTAGGGTGTAGCCCTGAGGTGTGGGTGGGGGAGCAAGACTGAGTGTTAGGGGCTGGGGTATGAGAGGATTCCCCAGAGAGTAGGGAGCAGAACAGGCAGATCTACTGAAATACACTGCTGAGGAGAGCTGTGGGGTGAGACAGGAGAGGTCTGCTGGGCCACTTGTGGTTTAGCTCCCAGGCTGGATGGAACTCATGCATCAGTGGCAGGAGATAGCTTGATAGCTCTGAGACTTTAACAAACCCTGTGCCACCAGGGAGGCCCCCTTTTTTTTTTTTTTTTTTTTTAATTGTTAGTGCTTCGGGACAAGATTACAGAAAGCTTGGAAAACTGAGTGGTGGGAAATCACATTTCTACCATTCTAACACAAACATCATTTCTATGTATTCTACTTTTTCTATCTTTTAGTTGGTAATCACTGTACATTCCGTTTTGTATTGTTTTTTTTTTTCCATTTAGCATATTCCAAAAATGTTTTCATAAGATGACACGAAACCTTTATCATTATTTTAATGGCTTTATAACATTTCATCAGAGAGATCTGCTTTGATTTAAATATCCTCTCATATATCACAATTATTTCTGAGTTTGCTCAGCGTTTTTTTCCCTGAGGAATAGTTTTATTTGTTGCATTGTATGTCGGTTTTTAAAGTGTTTTTTAAAATAGCTTTATGGCCTCCCCAGTGGCACAGAGTGTTGAGCGCCGCGCTGTGAAGCTGTCCACAGCCTCTGCAGCGTGGGTTTGATTCCTGGCTGGCAAGGGAGAGACCCACATGGCGTGGCAGACCTCTCCTGCCTCGCCTGCTGCTCCCCTCGGCAGTGTATTTGGTCCATCTGCCTGTTCTGCTCCCCACTCTGTCTCTGGTGAATTCTCTTACTCTCCTGCATCTCTGAACTATACCCCAATTTTTTTATAAGTAAATAAATTTTTTTTTAATAAATTTTATTTTTATATTCCCCATACAATTGCAATCCCCTTATTTTGAACCCAATCCCTCCCTTCCCCCCCCATCCCCCATAGAGTGTCTCTGGTTCATAGTTGTTTGTTGATTTTGATTTTCACTTTCTTATAGTTATTCTAAATAAATAAATTAAAAAAAATAGCTTTATGAGCTAATTTACATATCATGAAGTTTACCCATTTAAAGTGTGTGATTCAATGGGCTGTAGTATATTTACAATGGTGATACAATTATCACCATAATCTTAATTTTAGGATATTTTTATCACTACAAAAAGAAGCTTCATTAGTAGTCAATTCCATTCCTTTATAGTCTCCCCAGCCTGTGGCTGCCACTGGTCTACTTCTCCATAGCTTACCTATAAATGACCATTTCATGTAAACAGAACCATGTAGTATGTAATCTTTAGTAACTGGCCTTTTTCACTTAGCATGTATTTTTTTAAAGATTTATTTATTTATGCATACAAGAACTGGGGTACAGGCCAGAGGTGAGAGAATGCACCAGAGACAGAGTGGGGAGCAGAACAGGCAGACTGACTGAAATACACTGCTGAGGGGAGCAGTGGGCGAGACAGGAGAGGTCTCCTGAACCATGTGGGTCACCTCCCTGGCCAGGGATGGAACTCATGCTGCAGAGGTTGCAGATAGCTTCTTAGTGCTGTGCTTAACCCCTTGTGCCACCAGGGAGGCCCTAGCATAATGTTGTTAAGGCTTATTTATGTTGTAGAATGTGTCAGTGCTTCATTTCACTTAATTGCTGAAAAATATGATGTATTGTTTATTCATTCATCAGCCAATGGACATTTGGGTTGTTTCTGGATTTTGGTCATTATGAATGATGTTACTGTGAACTTACATGTATAGGATTTTTTTGTGTGTGTCGACATATGTTTTCATTTCATTTTAAAAGTTGTGTTCATATTTCCGCTGTGGGGTTCATTTATTACTTGGTTTTGCAGTTTGTTTGGGGAAGAACAGTTCCTGTACAGTCTCTTGATTCAGTGGTATCCTGAATATTGCTTTGAATTAATAAAAGAAGTTACTAAGAAGAAAAAAGAATCATGTATTTATAAGGTTTGAACTCTCCAGTAACATTGTTTCCAAATATTTGAACTTAAATAGTAGCAAGAGTCCATGTAGTAAAGCCTAAATTCAGTGCATATGTACTGCTGCTTACAAAAAAAGATTTTCAGCATGAGGCCTCAGTTCTAAATCAAGTCATTGTGTTTTATGGAGAGAACTTTACCATAAACCCCACAGAGCCTTCCTTATCAAATTTAATTTATAGTTCTCAGAAGCTTTTCCCTTCCTTGTGAAAAATTCCTTGCTAGGGTTCTGTGCACCTGCTTGGAGGCTTTGCCTAGGCTGGGGAGTGGTACTTACTGCATAGTTAACCAGAGAGGTGGAGATGAGTGTGGTTTAAATGTAGGTCTGAGAAAGACTGCTCTTCAGAACAGCTCTTACAAGGCTCTTACTGGTGAACCTCAGTTGCACCCGAGGTTAAAAATATAGATCATGCCAGACACAAAGAGGAACAGATGGTGCTGCTGGGAGTGTCATTTCCTCTACAGGATCTACCCCTGGGTGGTTTTACATCATACGAGCCGTATTACTGAAATAATGCAGAGCTTCCTTGTGACCTTGTCCTAATTGGAACTCCTAACATTCTTGATCAGTAGCTAGTCTTGCTGTCCCTACTTTTAAATTCCTACCAAAAGCTTTTGAAAGTATGTGTGTGTATAGGCCTAACTTTTTAATCAGTTGGTTCTACTCCAGAGAAACGTGGGGATTGGGCACATGTCTTTTGTCCAACAAGCCAGCCCCAAAGCAGAAGCTTGAATGATTATCTCTTGTACCTCTAGCTAAGTTCAATGAACAGTCCTTCCAGAAAATTCTCCTCTGCCTCCATTCTCTGTGTGTGTGTGTGTGTGTGTGTGTGTGTAAATGTGTGTGAATGCAGCCATATTCCCTGCCACAATTCACTGCCCAAAGTTTTAGATTGGGAGTGGATACTTCCTGTTAATGTAAATTGTATTCCCAAGTCCTGAAACTCTAAAATGACTGCATGAGGTAAGACTAGACAGTTATTTAAAAAATGGAATTCTTGACAGTAGCCAGATGTTACCAAAACTCCTTGCATAGCAAACCAAGTGTGTGATGAGACGGGCTCGTGAAATACAAGTTTGAATGATGGGACTTTGGGACCGGTCTCATTCTGCCTCACTTTATAGAAAGGAAATTGAGAAAGGGCACTCAGAGCTGACTTCTCTGGATGGTGACAGAGCAAGGGCTCATGATTCCTGCTCTATTGCTTTTCAACCCCCCTCCCTCCTACTCCCCAGGAAAGAGGATTGGGAGCCCAAGTGGGGTTTATATTATTAAGAATGAATTCATGACCCTCTGTGATTGCAGTTTTGGGTCTAATAGTGAAATTACAAAGGGGAATGAATCTTTGAGTTTACTTCTTCTGAGGAAGAACTGTTCTTAAGTAGGTGCAGTTTGTGCTTAAGCTAGGGCTGCTTAATTATTTTGTCTCTGTACTGTGCTGCTTCGCTATTTAAAAAACAGTCCCTGACTTAAGGCTGATGGTTTGTGTTCTCTTAGTAATTTTCTCCTTTGGGTCCACCTTGCACAGGTGCCAGAGGTTCTGGCACTATCCTAAATGTAGTAGCACTATCTGATAATTGGGAACTTGCTGTCTAGGAGGACTGATCTCCCTTCCTTCTACCCCACCAGCAGACCAAAACCCTCCTCTGCTGTGGTTCTGATTTCCTTGGGCTTATTTTATGTGGGCTTAGCCACCCATCTGAATGTAGTGTGGACACACATTTCTAACTGTCTCTGTCACCAGCCAGAAACGAAACACGCTTCCCTGGGCTAAGGTCATATATGCTAGCTTTCCCCATCCTAGAAAGCCAATGAAGTTTTGTGTTCAATGGGTGCTACTTTTGTAATTGGCATGCTCAAGACATCTCTAGCAAATTGACCAATGGTATGTTGGTTGGTCCACACCTTTATCAACCTCTGATTTCTATCCATATCCAGGTAGAAACTGCATGGGAAGGCCATCGACATCCTTGTTTCAGTCTTGTGGGGATTTAAGAAAAACAGGCTCTGCGTTTCCTAAGAGTTCATTGGTTCTTTTTTTCTCGTTACATGCACCTTCAAATCATAATTTCTGAGCTGATAATCTGGTTGGGCTGTGAAGTCAGGCCAGTGGGAGGTGGGTACATAGTTACTGCAGAAACCAACAGGAAGTAGATCTAGTCTTTTGTTTGGGTGAATGCCTGTGGCTAGTGCTAGGTATACTATTGTGAACAAAGAACAAAATGGACACAGTACTTGTCCTGTTGGAATTAACAGACCAGGAATAGCCATGAGTTATTTAACTTGAGAGTAGTCTGAGGAATCTGTTGTGCAACATTAGACTTTCAGTTTAGCCACTCTGAAGGACTCATTCTGGCCTTTTCAGTTACATCTGTGCTGGAATCCAGCAATTACCTGTGAGGAAGGAGGGCTTAAAAAAATATCCTTGGGAAATTCCTCCGGGCCTCCCTAGCAAGATAGCAAATTGCCTTTCTCTGCCTAGCTAGGTCTAGGAGTTAGGTCTGGTGTGAGAATTCCCGCTTTTGGCTTTGATCATTGATTTTAATGTGGGAATGTTTTCTGACCCTTAAATCACTCTTTTTTGAATTAAGGAAGAAAAACAAATGTGAGTTTAACAGTGAGAAATTGGGAAATAGGAAATATGATCAGTGGTGTGTATTCCATAGGAAATTTTTTTTCTCCTATCTCCTTTAAGCCTCTATTTTATTACAGATACAAATGTTGAGCTGTGATGTCTTGTTTCCTGCAATACCTGGTTTTATAACCTGCTGGGGGCAGTAAAGGACCTAGTACAATAATGGCACAATTAAGGCTTCCAATAAACATACCTCTTTGTATATTTTGCCTCTTTGAGAGCCATGTTTTTGTAGACCGAGGTGCTAGGCTGAGTTGGAAAGTTCCCTGAGGTCAATGATCCTTTCATCCATTTCTTTGTATTGAGGCCCTGGTTGGTAAGTGGTTGATAAGGTAAAGTGGATTAAAATAAAAAAGGTTGAGTTGGTGAAGTGATTTTGACTTCGGATCCAAAATCAGATCCAAATATCCAAAATTAGAGAGTTAATCCTGCTAATTTCAGGTGCTGAATTTCTTTCTATAATTCTACCATTCTTATAAAAGCCTCAGGAGGCATCAGGTATGCCCTAAAACCAACTTACACATGTGCATTTATCATTGGCCTAATGTATATATATCAGCATCCGTTGTGAATGTGGGTGCAGGCAAGGAAGTAGTTAACACAGGATGTCTTATTTCTGTTTGTTCTCCAGATTTGAGGTCTTCTGGGGGTTCTGTTACTTCTGGAATAACAAAATATAATTGTGTGTGTCATCTCCTTTGAAGGTCTGTACATGCTTTTGAAAAATCACATCCTTGAAAGAACGGCTGTTGGGTACAACTGCTGACTGCTTTTCATCGTCTGTGTGTGAGCAACAGTAGAATGAACAGATTTCAGAGCCTTTGTTTTTGTGTTGGTAAAACTTTCTGAGAATAGCAACAAGGTAGGTATTTTTCAAGTAACACATCTGAACTCATTTGACAAGTATCTATTGAATGCTAATACTCTTTCCCATATAATTCTCCCCATAGGAATTCTTTGCAGCACACAGATTAACAGTTTTTAAGTAATTGTTCCTCGGTGTTTTAGTTAGTTTTCTAAAACCTCATAGATTTCAAACCCTTTGAGATGTAAGGGCTGGTTTGTTTCCACTGTGTTTACTATGCAATATGGACATCCGTATTAATAGCAATAAAGATTTCTTCGTTTTACAAAGTGCTTTCACAGAGGCATATACTATTATGAAGTGGTTCTAGTTCTATTTTACAGAAGGAAAAGCCAAGACCTTTGGTGACCAGTAGGCACTGAGCAGAAACTGTACTTGTAAATAGTGGCACTGAGTCAGCTGCTGCTCATGCTGAGTCAAACGTTGGTACTTCTTATTGAGAAATAGGAAACCTCCTGGAATTGCAGACTTGATAAAATGGAAGTTGCTTATGAAAAACAGTTTAACAACTCCTTTCCTGTTCTCCCATCCCTGTCTCAGCACAGGTACTATCAAGGTTGTGTGTGTTAATATGTGTGGTGTACTGATGGGACCAAATTGTGGAAGTATATTTAATTTGACAGTGTAACTTATCTAACTAAGGAAAAAGCAGCCCCTTACAGGATAAGGGACTTTTATTTTTATTTTTGGAGGAGGAGGGAAGTCATAAGGACAACACCCTGGTATCTAGAAATTCATGCAGTTTGGGGCTTACCAGAGGGTCCAGTGGGGGCAAACCAGAGCAAAATCTCTTAGTTCTTTGATTCTAAGGGCTCTATGAGAGAGGTTTATTTGAGTGACTTTGTAGTTTGCCCTGTATGAGACATTGTTGCAGTCTTCTCCTTTCTTTCTGCAGGGGTGGGAGTTAGGACTTTAGGCAGCAACAAAGGGTCCAGGGCCTCCCTGAGATGCAAACCAAAGTGGGACTGTCTTGACCTCAGAACTGAAGAGGCTTGGAGGAAACTTTCTTGTTGCTGACATTGGGAGCCCAGCCTCTTCTGTAGGTGAGGCTTAATCTCCTCTTCTCCCCGCCCCCCATCCTGCCTTGTTTTCAAAGGCAGAAGATGCGCCTGTGTGGGCAGAGAGGAGGTTAGAAGTGAAGTTCCCTCCCTAACCACCACAGTTGAGATTTGAGGAAACATAAAGCAGTGCTAGTGTTACAGGGGCAGGGTGTGCTTGGGCAGCCTGGTCTGTTTAATTCCATTTAGTTGGGAAAGTGGAGGAGTAAAACTGGCTGTGGGTCAGGACTACTAATTCCCCACTTTCCTATGATGAATGGAAATTAAGGAGTGTTTTAAGAAATGGGTACTGAGTGGGAAGCAGTGGTGGGTAGCAGGACTTGGAGTCAGAGTCGGCCTGCCTTCATTCTCAGTTTGACCACTTAGCAATGGTGTGACTTCGAGCACATTTAAACTGTACTCAGTTTTATCATTTGTTAAGTGGAGATGCAGTTTCTTTAGAAGGGTAGTTATCAAAATTTAATGATTATGTTAGGATGAGGAATTCTGGGATCATGAAGGGTAACAGGAAACTATAGCTTCTTAAACTTCTTTTTGAGTCATTTGAATTTTTCAACTATTGGCATAATAGTTTATTATGACATGATTTATTCGGAAACTCAAAAGTGCCCTCTCATGGAATTATTATGAAAATGAAATCAAATGAGATATTTAAAACATTAGTTAGAGTATCTGACAATTAAGAGATACTTAAATGGCAGTTTGAGTATCTTAGTTCCTTGGTTCTAAGGGGGAAAAGTGACATTAATTTGAAGTTGGCATATACTTTTCTAGTATTAGATTTTTTCTGTCTGTGTGACTGGGTAAATATCTGTTAAATCCCAGCTTCATCAACTGAAAATGGGGGTTAATAGTATCTTCTATATACAGGGGGTTTGGAAGAGACATGTAAAGCAGTTAGCTTTGTATCTAGCTCATAGTAAGTGCTAAGTAAATATCACCTATTAACAGTTGTTATCCAGGGCTTCCCTGGGGCGCAGGGGTTAAAGACAGTGCTTTCAAGCCACTGCCAGCCACTACAAGCAAGTTCTATCTCTGGCCGGCCAGGGAGCAACTCACATGGCACAGCAGACACCTCTCCTGTCTTGCCCGCTGCTCCCCTCAGCAGTGTATTTCAGTAGATCTGCCTGTTCTGCTCCCCACTATGTCTCTGGTGAATCCTCTCACCCCTACATCTCTAGCTTGTACCCCGGTTCTTGTATGCATAAATAAATAAATCTTAAAAAAACCAACAAAACAGTTGTTATCTATACCACTATGTTAAAGGGAGATGGGAGTTATGTTCACTTTAAAGCTATAGAAAGAGTAAATCAGTGACTTATTTTAAGGCCAGATGTTACTTTAGCAGCAGAAATGGGGCTAGTGCCTGAATATTCTCCCCTTATAGTTCAGCTTTGCCTTGTCAGCTTGGGTATCAAATCAATGAGGTCTCACAGGAAGGCAGATACAAAGCAATGGCTAGGGCTGTGGCATGAAATGCACCATCACTCTAGACCAAGGGGATTATTGACTGTTAGTTTGGTGGGGATGAGAGAGGGGGAGAGACCAGCCTGGACCATGCCCTTTCTTCACTTTCCACAGCAGATGGACTGCCTCTGGGGAATGACAAGAGGGAGGGGCTTTTTCTTCTCTTTTCTCCCTAGTCCTCTTGCTTGGCAGGTGGTGGACTCCTTAGTACTAACAGTAGTACTTAGTTGTGGGTTTAGTTCACTGAACTCTTTCAGGCCCAGAAAATCCAGGTCTGGCCTTCTTAGTTAAATTGCTCTACTGCTGGACCCTCACTAACAGGCTTACAGCAACAAGTCTGCTCATCTCTCCCCCATTCATCTGGGGAGGCCTGCACAAAGTTGTGCTCATTTTTCCTAGGAGAAGACCTCTCTCCATACCACTTTGGTCTTGCCCATGACTTCGCAGGCTCCTTAGCTCTCTGCCTATTGTGGGACTGAACAGTTGAGTTGAAGCCATACTTGGTCTCAGATAGGTTTAGAGTTTTGCTGTGGGCTCTTGTTTTGTAATACTAACAGTTAGAGCGGGAAAAACACTTGGGTGATTTCTGCCCAGTATTGTTTCTGAAGAGTTAGAGATTCTTGTCCCCAAAGTCTATACTGACCAGAGCTGACTATACCCCAGTTTCAAACTTTGGGGTAATAGAATGTACTTCTCACATGGGCCTTCTCATTTCAGTTGTCTATCAGACTCTTCCACATTTGCCTTGTTCCCTTCTTCACAGGGGTCACAGGGGTCTTCTTCACAAACCTTACCAACTGGTGAAAAATACAGGCAATGCAGTATCAAAAGTTTTACTAATCTTTGCCTGGTAAACTGGAAGAACCAATGTGCATATTTGTATAGTTTTTGTATTTTCATGGGTTTCAATTACATGTATCCTTGCCAGATTTGCCTTTAGTGGTGGCTGGCAAATCGTGTAGTCTATTTTCCCTTAGAATATATCCTTGCTTTGGTCATCAGAATTCCCATTTTACAACTCCCCACATTTTGTAATTTCACTTTCCAGTCTGAAACGTGTGAGCAGCCTGCTATTGAGGCACTCATTTTTCAGTAATACCAGCTGAGCCACTGCACCCCTAGACACATCAGCTCTGACTCCCAGCCTGATTTCTTTTTCTTGTTTATGGCAACTTGTATGCAGACCTCCAGTTCAGGGCATCAAAATGTTTCCTGTTTGACTTGATAAAAGGAAGATCGTAGGTGGATCTTAAAGACATCCTGGAAAAGGCCCTCTTAACTCTCTCTCTTTTTTAAAGATTTATTTATTTATGCATACAAGAACTGGGGTACAGGCCAGAGGTGGGGGTGTGTGTGAGAGGATTCACCAGAGACAGAGTAGGGAACAGAACAGGCAGATCTGTTGTAATAAACTGCTGAGGGGAACAGCGGGCGAGTCAGGAGAGGTCTGTTGCGGCATGTGGGTAAGTTCCCTGGTGGGGATTGAATTCATGCTGCCCTGGCTGCAGATAGCTTCATAAGTTGCGTCTTAACCCCTTGCGCCACCAGGGAAGCCCAACCCTCTTAACTCGTAGCTAATTGCAAACTAAGACTCCAGTGGAGAAGCTGCTTTATGAAAGCCCCTCTGAACCACAAGTTGTTCAGGTTGTTTATCATGTTTTATAGTATATCTGTTTGTGGGGTTTTTTAGATTTATTTATTTATTTAAACAAGCACTGGGTACAGTCAGAAGTGTGGGAGGGTGAGAGAATTCACCAGAGTGAGAGTGGGGAGCAGAGCAGACTGACGAAATACACTGCTGAGGGGAGCAGCGGGCGGCAGGAGAGGTCTGCGCGCCATGTGGGACCCTCCCCCGGTGGCCTGGGATCGAACTGGCGCTGCAGAGGCTGTGGTCAGCTTCGCAACCCAGCGCTCAACCGCTGCGCTACCGGGGAGGCCCGTATTTATCTGGTTTTTGAAGATAAACAGCTTAAATTCTGGTTTTAAGGGTGGTGACTAGAAGTTTTGGAGGAGATACTTATAGAGGAACCAAGCTCTATCTTTATTTCAGGCCTTTAATCATGAACTTACAGGAGCAGCTCCAGGGTGTCGGGAGAGGAATGGCATGCTGCCTTGGAGCTGTCATCTAGGATACCACCTTTTGGGAACCAGCTAGTAGGCAGTACCTGACCCATGTGAAGTCATATTTGGGCCTTATCGGAAATGAAGCAGATGGTGTTTCTAGTAAAACTGGCAGATATTCTTGCTGTCAGAATTAACTAGAAAATTTTACATGTAAGTGTGGATTTATGGGAGTCTTCCTTTTGGGGTTTTAGTCACACACAGAAGTGCTGTCTTTACCTTACAGCGACCTTTATTTATCCCTTGCTTGCTTCTTTCAACTCGGTGTCTTCCCATCCCTGGTTACGTTCTCTCACCAGATGTCATTTCTGATGGGGAGGTAAAAGGTAGGCCCCACCAGTCTCTCTAGTG